GGCACGGATGGCAGTGTTGGGCACACACACCGGGCTCTTTGCTGAATTCCGAGGCATCAACGTCCGACTCTGAGGCGGAGTGGAAGAGCGGCCTTGGGGACTCCTGTCTGCCCTGTCCCTCCTCTGCCTGCTCCTCCTCGGGTTCAGGACTCCTGTTGGCAGTAGCGTCAGTCTTTGTCCCCAGGTCTTTACTGAGAGCTGCTGGTGCCAGGTGTTGCTCAGGTTGCCAGGAGCCATGCTCTCCTGGGGGGTCTGGGGAAGGGCCCACATGTGACACCCTGTGGCAAGTGCCCTGGGGAAATAGAAAGCAGACCCCAGCTTTGTCGAGGGTCGGGCTGGCTCCTGATGGCCAGCAAGGGGAGTCGCAGCTCTGGGCAGAAGGGACAGTGGGTACGCCACAGGCTTTGGCGTGACCAAGGGGGGAGGCCCTGGTGGCCAGGTGCGAAGACGGAGCCCCAGGAGGAGGGGAGCAGGGGGCTTGGTCCCTTTGTTGACGGCCAGCTCCCTGTCCCCAGGCAGTGTTCCCATCTCAGCCCTGGTCATGTGGGGAGTTGTCTCTGCTCATGTCCCATGAACCTCTGGGTCCTTCCTCTGGAGTGGAGCGAGCCCCGATTTCCCCTGCTGTGGTGTCTCCCTGGGGAAGGGGTGGAGCCCTCCTCCCTGGGCTCTGCCCATTGTCCCCTGCGGTGCCTCTGCTGCCCTCCCTGCCTGCAGCCCCAGGCCTCCTCTCCCGCCTCAGTCCCTCTCGCCCCCCCCCCCCCCAACCCCACACCTCCTGAACCCGCTGAGTTTCCTCCGGGTACTTCCGGACCTTCTGACTTGCCTCCTTCCAGAAGGTGAGCCCCGCAGGGACAGGCACGTTTCTGGCCGTCCTGTCTGTAGCTGAGGGCACCCGCCTGGTCTGGGAGAGTCCACCTCAGAAGTCATGACGGGCCGTCAAGTCGACGGGTGGGGGTGTCGGGGTCGCTTATGCATAGAGAAGGTGGGGACCCTGGGGGAAGGGGAGCTGGGGCAGATGTGGCGGGGAGGGAGGGTGGGGGAGATGTGGCAGAGGGAGTGGCGTGGCTGGGGTGGAGTGGTAAGGAGCCACGGGGGGCTGCAGAGGGAAGCCAGACCCCCCACCCCCCGCTGGTCAGCCCTGGCGGGAGCCGTCCTACCTTCCAGAAACAGTGGTGGACATGATGGCCGGGGGACAGGCTAGGCGGAGGCCTCCATGCGGGCGGGGGCCAGCAAGTACTTCCTCCCTGGCTCTCCCTCCCAGGGTTTCACGTTGGTGACTAGGAAAGGGTGTCTGTGACCCTGGCTGTGTCCCCTGGGCTTGCCATGGGCCCAGTTCCACTTGGGTCAGCCTGGAGGGCAGGGTGGAGGGCGGGCAGGAGGGTTCCTGGCCACACGTGTGCCCACGGGCACACACACGCCAGGTGGCTTCGTCACACGGGGAGCTTGTTCTTCCCCGGGCCGCACAGTGACGGGGCCTGGGCAGTGTGTCACTTTCCTCTCGTAAAAGGTGGCGGGAGGACGAGCAGGTGAGGGGCCACTGGAAACGGCCGCCGCCGCTGGGCCGGGCAGGAGCCGCGGGGGCTGAGGAAGGCGAGAGCTTTGCGTTGACGTGAGCACTTTCCGTGGTCCAGGGACACAGGTGCCTCATGTTCAGGATCCAGCACGACTTCAGGGGCACCTGTGCTTATCCTCTGGTCTCTTCCCGGGGTCCCTGGGTCGCTCTCTGCCCCTGGGTCCCCGGGTCCCTCCTGACTGTCCAGTGCCCTGGTCCTGTCTGTGGTGGCTGGGGTGGTGCAGCAGGCGCAGGTGCCCTGCCCTTCTCTGCTGTTCCCCAAGCGCCTGCGGGGGCGGGGGGGGGGACAGCATCTAGGTGTCGGCGTTGCAGGGAGCAGGGTGGGACAGTCCTTGTTCTCCAGAGCTGACCTTCGAGGGGAGAGGTGGACACAGAAGACTCACAGTCCCGCCGCACAGACTCACCGTCACCCCACATGGCCAGTGCAGCAGGGGACGATCGGCAGAGGGTGACAGGCAGGACGGGACGTCTGAGTGTAGACCTATGGGGGCAGGTGGGCAAAGGAGAGTCAGGGTGGCCCTGCAGGGGCACTCGCTGCGCAGCCGGGCAGGGTGACCGTGTAGCGAGCAGAGCGAGCGCAGGCAGGGGCAGCAGGAGGGCAGTGAGGTGACAGGCAGGCCCTGCAAGGACAGTGGCCCCAGGAAGCAAAGGGCTTGAGGCAGCTCATCCGGAGTGAACTGGACGGCCCAGAGCCAGCTCTGCTCGATGGCTTTAGAGAAGGACTTCACCTCTGTGAGCCTCAGTCTCCACATCTACAAAATGGGACCCAGAGTGGCCACTGTTCCCAGGTGCAGGTGGCCTGTGAGCTCCGCCTGGGCACTGAGGTGCGGGTCCCCTCATGGTGACCCCACGGTGCCAGGCGCAGAGCTGGGCCCAGAGAGCTGCGGCGGCGGTCCTGTCTCCCTGCTGCTGCACACACCGGGCGGGAGGCCGAAGAGGCAAGAAGCAAAAAAGGGAGGGAGGGGCCGGAGCCCTGCTGCGTGCTGCTCCCCACACCCCTCAGGACAGGACAGCCAGGGAGGAGGTGGGGACCCCTGGAGGGACCAGGGACCAGAGGGAAAGCGAGGTCTGGGCATAGAGCAGGCAGGGAGGGGGGGCGTGGCCAGGGCTGGCCGGGGATGATGGTAGGCGAACCCCGCAGCCGGCCGCAGCCCCCCGGCAGGACAGGCAGGCGGAGCGCAGCCTCTGCCCGCTGCCTGGTTCACATCCTGGCTGCCTCTCCCTGGGCGCCCTGGACGGGGGGTTCCGCTCTCCGGGCCTCAGTTTCTGCATTTGAGGATCAGGGTGTGTCTTAGGCTGGCCACGAGGACAGACTCGGATTAGGCCCGAGAGCAGTGCCCACACAAGCTGACCTCCACTGGTGGCCACCACCGACTCCCACAGCTGGTGCAGCTGCAGGTTCAGGGTCAGAGGGGCCAGAGGTCTGTCCTGCCTCCCTCGCTGTCCCCTGGGCAAGTAGGCTGTCCCGGCTGCCTTTTTCCTTGTCTCTGGCGTGGGCTTGTACTGTCCCCTTCTTCCTCCTGGGTCAGACGCTCGGGCTAAATGAGGGGCGGGGCTGAGGCCTTGGGAGAGGCCCGGCTGCTCAGCCCGGGTGGCAGCTGCGGGTAGGGGTGCCCGGGTGCCCTGCGCTGAGCGCTCTCTGTGCGTGGCTTGTCCTGGCTCTGGCCCCGCGGACTCAGGCAGGCCTCAGCGCCTGTTTCCCTGTGTTCTGGTGAACAGCAGAGCGTTCAGGGGGACGAACAGGCTGGACGCGAACGTCCTAGGACTCGCTCGTGTGGCGCCTCGTAACCGCTCCAGGGAGCACTGCCGTCATCGCTGCCTACTGACGGGGGAGCCAGGCGCAGGCCCCAGAGCTGCCCGGGACAGTGCTGGAGCTCCCTAGACGGGGAGGGCCAGGTCCCCCTTCACGGGGGCAGTGAGGTCGCCCTGCCACTAACAGCGAGCCAGCTGTGGGCGCTCAGCTGCCGACTCACGTTCCCAGCGGGCTGCGGACCCGTCCCAGCACCCCTGCCCACGAGGCCAGGCGCTGGCCAGGACTGCAGCGCCTGGAGCCGGCTGGGTGGGGCTCCCATGGTCATTATAAACATGGCCAGTTCCTCTGTTTGTCCTGTCCTCAGGGCTGTGCCCAGAGGAAAGGGGTGGCCCAGGCAAATATCCGGAGGTGTGCCCCTCTGCCCCTTCCCCGCAAGGGCACATGAGGCTGTAGCCTGCAAGGTGGCTTGGGGGTGTATGCAGGGGCTGTGGGGCAGCGGGAGGCAGGCCACCCCGGACAGCCCCGCCCTCCTGGTCCTGGGTTCCTCTTATCTCAGTATCTGTTCCTCCCCCCCTGGGTTTAGTGAGGGGTCGTGGCTAACCCTGTGCCCTTAGCCGGCAGAGGCCATGGGAGCCGCCTTCGTGCCCGACAGTGGGAGAAGGAGCTGATAAACAGCACGGAAAGTTCAAGATGAAGAACAGGCTGCACACGGAAGACGGGGAGGGGGTGGGGACTTTCAAGGTTGTAGGGACAACCCTGGGAGCCAGGACTAGAGACCTAGAGTTGAGCCAGGGAGCAGAGAGTGGCCAGGGCCACCAGGCGGACCAGGGGTGCATGGCTGGAGGACAGATGGACAGTGTTCAGGGCTGGGGAGAGACTGCGCAGGGGCTTGCTGACCCTCCTGGGGTCAGAGAGGGGGCTGGGGTGGAAGTGGAGGGTGCCCTGCCCGCCCAGGTCTGCTTACCACACACCCGGGCCCTGGAACCCAGGGCCAGCAGAGAAACAGGGCCAGCGGGGGAACCCTGGCCAAGCCTGGCTCTGGCCACCCTCTGGCCTTTATGGACCAGTTGAGACAGGTTGGCTGCCTGTCCCCACCCGCTTCCCACTGGGCTCCTGCTGCCAGACCGGTTCCCCTGGTTGGCTCCCCAGGACGGCCTTCTCTGGCCAGGGCTGGCCGCCTCCCCCTGGGAGCTGCACTCAGGAGAGGAGCCCAGGAGCCAGAGAGCCAGGCCTGGGGTGGGGGCGTGTGGCCGCAGACCCTCTGCAAGTACCCTCTCCCTAGGCCATGAGACGGTGCCACCCTGCGCCCAGCGCTGTCGGGCACGGGGAGCCAGCTGGGAACAAGACGGAAGTCCTCCTGGAGTGTCGCTCCTTGCCCTGCTCCTCCACTCCTGTGGCCCTCTCCGTCCAGAAGCCCCCCTCAGCCCGCACTGTCCCTTCCTGGCTGCTCCAGCTCCCTGGATCCCAGCTCAGACCACTCTGAGTTGTCTTTTTTTTGGGGCCAGATTTTTTTGCCCCATAGAGACAACCCCATGAGGTCAGAGACTGTCCAGGTCACCACTGTGTTCCTGCTACCAGCCAGCAAAGAGCTGGGCACAGAGGAGGCCCGTTGTCGAGTTCCTGAATGAGTGGACGGATGGATGGACAGACGGACGTTTTCTCCCTGTTTTACAGATGAGTCATCCGAAGCCCCGAGAAGGCACATCACCTGCCCTTGGGCACTTCTAGCCCAGCCACCCTCAAACCAGGTCTGTGTAACTCCAGGGCCCATGTATTAGGGCATTGGGGCGGGGCCCCACGGCAAGTGGCAGTGCCTGGAGCCCTCCTCCCACAGGCACCTGCACGGCCTTCCAATACTTGATGTCACTTGTGCCCAGCCGTGAGCTGGGCACGTTGTTCACTCATTCATTCCTCACAGCGCCCTGTGGGATTGGCCAGCACTTGGAGAGGTTCAGTCACTCAGGGTCCCAGGTAGCAAATGGCAGAGAGATTTGTGCTCCAGACACCTGGCTTCTCTGCCATCCTTTTGAGGGCTCCTGTAGGGTGCCACCATCACCCTCCCCTTGGGGGCCCCAGAACAAGTTCCAGACCCTAAAGACAGGTTCGTGTCATAGTGAGAGTACCCGGCACCCTGCCTGTCTGTGGCTGTGGGTGGAGTCGTAGCTGAAGGTGGGCAGCAGCTGGAGCCCAGGGTCAGGGCCGGGCCAGCAGGGTCAGGGCGATGGCTGAGCGCTCAGAACGCGCTAGGCCCGGGTGGGACCCGGAGGAGACTGGGCAGCCAGGCCTGCCCGGGCCCTGGTGTCTGTTGGAGGGGGTGATGGAAACATCGAGCAGGGGACACGAGAAGCAGCACAGACTTTTCACAAGTTAAACCATCGCTGAAGGTGACACGGTAGAGGGCCGGTGGGACGGGGTGGTTTTACTTGGGATGGGGAAGGATTCGCTGAGCGCTCAGTGCTGAGGAGGAGGGGCGTGGGGTGCCGGGCAGGGCGCCCAGGCAGAGGACAGCCGCCCAAAGACACCGAGGGGTGATGGAGGGCGCCCCGAGGTGAGAATGGAGAGTACCACGGAGGGCTGGGGGGTTCTTCCCGTTGACCCCGAGCGGGGAGAGCTGCTGGGGGCTGCGAGCGACAGGGCCGTGCCTGACCTCCGAGTGCCGGACGGACCCGGGCCCTGGGGCCTGGAGGAGACTGCTGAGGAGGGGCCGAAAGGGACCCGGGCAGAGGAGAGGGAGCATTGGGCAGGTGTGGGCAAGCCCCACTGACCCCTGGCCCGCCACTACCAGCATGTCCTCCCGCAGGTGCCCTGGTAGAGGAGCCCGAAGCCCCGGCGCCATGTTTGGGAAGAGGAAGAAGCGGGTGGAGATCTCGGCGCCATCCAACTTCGAGCACCGCGTCCACACGGGCTTCGACCAGCAGGAGCAGAAGTTCACGGGGCTGCCCCGCCAGTGGCAGAGTCTGATCGAGGAGTCGGCCCGCCGGCCCAAGCCCCTCATCGACCCCGCCTGCATCACCTCCATCCAGCCCGGGGCCCCTAAGGTACACCGCCGCCTGCCACCGTCTCCCCGACCCCCACATCCCGGCCCAGTACTGGCCTCCCCACCCCCACCCACTTCCCTGCTTCCCCACCCCAAGCCCTTACTGGTCCACTGGCCTCCAGGCTCTGTAATCCTGTCCCCAGTGCCAGTCACCCAATTGCCAGCCTGCCCAGAGCCCCTTGGCAGTGGGGGGACAGGCCTGCTCCCAGGCAGTGACCAGCACCAAGTGGTCTGGGCTGGGGTAGGGCGCACAGAGGAGGCCCGGACCCAGGCCAGGCCTGAGGGTGAGCGGCTCAGAACGGTGAGCTGCGGGCTGTGGAGGAGGCGGGCGGGTGCCCGGGAGGCCTGGGGGGCTTTCACGTTTCCTGGGCTTTTCTGCCATCTTGAGCACAGCGACCAGGCTGGGGTTGGGGCCAGGACGTGGCTTCAGCCTGTACTCTGCCCCCTGACCCCACCCCCATGTGGAGTTTAGGAATTATGGTCCTGGTGGCCCCAGGGGTGGCCAGGCTGGCCTTGGGGTGCAGAGTGCCTGGTGAGGCCATTCTTCATCCAACGGTGATGGGACCCACAAGGGCTGCAGGCCAGGGCACTATAGCCAGGTTGTCCCCAGTGGGTGGAGATGGGCACGCCCGTTTCTCGGCAGACTGGCGCCCTGGCAGGCCTGTGGCTGACTCATCCTCCCCCAGTGCCCTGGCGGGGAGGAGGCCGAGGTCATCGGGTTGACGGTGGACGAAGTGCTGGGTCTCAGTCTGGGGCCGCTGGGGCGCTCGTGGCTCTGCAGGGTGCTGACTGCTGTGGCCTCTTTGCCCCTGCTTAGAAAGCAGGGTTCACGTCCAGAGCTGTGTTTGGGCTTCTCCTGCTACACACCAGCCACAGCCACAGCCCAGTGGCGGCCACCTCTGTAGGTGAGCACTGGTCTTCTGTGCCCACACTGCCCCTGTGGCACTCCAGGCCCTCCCTGTGGCCACTGTGTGCTGGCGGGGCCCATACTAGCTGGCTCTGCTAGCCAGGAGCCCTGCCCTGCAGCTGGCCCACCGCGAGGAAGGGGCTCCTGTCTTAATTCACACAGAGGTGACCCTCAGTCCAGCACTGTCCTCAGGCCCCACGGGCTTTGTGTTGGCTGCCCTGGGCCAGGAGTCCCCACGCCCCCAGGGGCCTCTTGGCCTCCTTCCAACCCCGCTGCCCAGCCACACCCTGCATCTCAGGGGAGGCCGGGCTTCCGGGCTGGAGCTCAGACTCGGGAGGCAGGGGCAGCAGCAGGCCACCAGGGGCTGTTTTTTGCACATTAGAGGAAGTCCCGGGCCCCTGTCCCTGCTGCCAGAGAGCCACAGCAGTGGTAGAGCCCGCCCCCAGCAGGTCCCATGGTTGGCTCCTGTGGCCTCTTCCCGCCCGCACCCTTCCCACTGGGCTGCTGCGTCTGCTGAGCACCTCTGTGTGCCGCGCAGCTCTGGGGCCCAGATGTCGCGGGACTGGAAACTGATGGGAGAAAACGGTCACTGCCCTAGGAACATGGCACGTGGCAGAGCCCCGCAGTGGACAGGTGTGCTCCTACTGCACTGGGGTCAGTCCCTGGAGAAAAAGAACACAGGGAGAGGCGGGAGGTGGGAGCTGGTGTTCTAGACTTCGAGGGGCTGGGGTCAGCCGAACCTGAGAAACCCAGTTTGAACAAAGACCTGAAGGGTGGGAGGGAAGAGGCCATGGCTCCCTGGGAGATGTAGGGTCCAGGTGGAGGGACAGCCAGTGCAGAGCCCTGAGACTCGCACCTTGTACGGGGCTTGAACCCTGAGGCGCTTAACCACTGAGCCGCCTCCCCAGTCCATTTTATTTTTTATTTTGAGACAGGGTCTCCCTAAGTTGCTCAGGCCTCACAGAGTTACTTAAGGCCGGCCTTGAACTTGGGATCCTCCTGCCTCAGCCTCCCAGGCTGCGGGGATAACAGGCGTGGCCATCATGCCCAGTGTGTCTGCAGCTTAGCGGGTGTGGGAGAGCCCTGAAGGCCACAGCTCTGCCTGAGGGGAGGCAGGTGGTGGCCACGGAGTGCACGGGTGGCTGCGGGCTGCGTTTGCATTGGCCATGCGGCACCCAGGGCCCCCTTCCCTGCAGTTTGGGCCCAGGCGTGTCCACTGTCCCTGCACCCCACCTCTGGCCTCCAGGGGAGCAGAGAGCTGGTTTGGGAGTAATGACCCTGGCAGCTGTAAAGGAGGACGTGCCCAGCTGGGCCCCAGGCACAGCGTCCTGTCACTCACGGCTCTTCAGAGCTGACGATGGGGCAGGTGGCTCCCTCCTCCCACCAGAGCAGGTCTCTTCCCGTCCAGGGAGCCAGATGAGGGGTTGCCACCTAGGGGTGGCTCCTGTCCTGGCTCTGGGGTGACAGCCGGGCCCTGACGAGTGCTCCTTCAGCTCCCTCCTGCCCTGAAGTGTGGTGGGGGAGGGCCCAGCCCCCTCCCCCGCCCTCCCGTCCCCCTCCATCACCCCCTGGCATTTCTTCATTGCGTCTCTGTCTTGTCTCTGTGTTGTGTCGTCCTGTCTGTCGGATGCACTTCCTGTGTCCCTTCCTCCTTGCCTGGCCCCCACCCTGCCATTGCCCGGGACCCCAGACCATCGTGCGGGGCAGCAAAAGTGCCAAGGATGGGGCCCTCACGCTGCTGCTGGACGAATTTGAGAACATGTCGGTGACACGCTCCAACTCCCTGCGGAGAGACAGCCCGCCACCCCCCGCCCGTGCCCGCCAGGAAAACGGGATGCCCGAGGAGCAGGCCACCCCAGCCAGAGGGGGCCCAGAGAAGTCTGGTGGCCGAGGCCGGGTCACTGGCCGCAGCGAGGCGGGTGGCGGCAGTGGTGACAGGCGGCGGGTGGGGCCCGAGAAGAGGCCCAAGTCCTCCAGGGAGGGCCCAGGAGGGCCCCAGGAGTCCTCCCGGGACAAACGCCCCCTCTCTGGGCCTGACGTCGGCATCCCCCAGCCTGCCAATCTGGCCAGTGGGGTGAAGCTGGCGGCCGGCAGGCCCTTTAACACGTACCCACGGGCCGATACGGACCACCCGCCCCGGGGAGCGCAGGTAACCCGTCCCTCACTGTCCCCTGCCCCTTGCTTCACCCTCCCCGCCTGCCAGCCCCAGTCCAGGCCCAGCCCCTGTGCATCACTCATCCTGACCACCATGTGTCTGTCCCTCAGTTCGGAACAGAGCCGCGCTGGCCCCTCAGCCCCCTCTCTCTTCTGTTTCAGGGAGAGCCTCACAGCAAGGCCCCGAACGGGCCCTCGGCAGGGGGCTTGGCTGCCCCCCAGTCCTCCTCTTCCCGGCCTCCCACCCGAGCCCACGGCACCCCCAGCCCCGGCGTGCTGGGCCCCCACGCTTCCGAGCCCCAGCTGGCCCCTCCGGCCCGCGCCCTCGCCACCCCCGCCGGGCCCCCTGCTGCCGGGCCCCCTGGACCCCGCTCACCCCAGCGGGAGCCACAGCGAGTGTCCCATGAGCAGTTCCGGGCTGCACTTCAGCTGGTAGTGGACCCCGGGGACCCCCGCTCCTACCTGGACAACTTCATCAAGATCGGGGAGGGCTCCACGGGCATCGTGTGCATTGCCACCGTGCGCAGCTCCGGCAAGCTGGTGGCCGTCAAGAAGATGGACCTGCGTAAGCAGCAGAGGCGTGAGCTCCTGTTCAACGAGGTGGGTGGCGGGGCTGCAGCCAGGCCTCGGGACAGGGCAGGGCCGGGCAGGGAGGGTGCCTCTGGGTGGAGTGCCCAGGGGGCCGGGGCCTCGGCTCTCCCCTCCTGCTCTGTGCGCCAGCCACCTCCCCACTGGACGGTTCTGTCTCCGCCCTAACAGCGCCCACCCCTACGTCCCAGTGCACCTCCTAGCCTCAGGGGAGGTCCTGGGGCCCCCTGAGGCCCTCCCTCAGTGTCCTCTGAGCCTTGCCACCCATCAGGGTCCAGCTGGCCGACAGATCATCCCCTCAGGCCTGTTCCTCCTCTGGTTCCCTGTCTCCAGGAGACCCCACCACCCCGTCTCTGTCTCTAGGACAGCTCCCTGGACTCTCTTTGTCCCCCACCCACGTCTCTATGCAGCCTCCCCTCTTGGACATCCCCTAAACAGTCCCCATACAAGAGCCCAGGCTGGCCAGATGCACTGGTGCATGGCTGTCATCTAGCAGGTCAGGAGGCTGAGGCAGGAGGATCCCAAGTTCAAAGCCAGCCTCAGAATTTATTGAGGCTCTAAGCAACTCAGTGAGACCTTGTCTCAAAATCGTAAAAGATTGTTTTTAAAATCAGGCTGGGGTGTGGCTCAGTGGTTAGCACCTCTGGGTTCAATCCCTGCCCCCCACCCCCCACCAAAGAGCCAGGGGTGTTTGCCATGTAGGCCAGCCACGTCCCACTCCGCTGCACAGACCTTCGCAGCGCCCGCCCCCGTGCTCTTAGGTGGAGCCCTGGCCCTTCACTGTCCCTTGAGGTCCTTTTTGATCCAGCCCCAGTGAGGCGCCTGGTCTGTCCAGCTTCCTGCTCTGGCTCTCGTGGCCTCTTCCATAGGCAGCTCCCGGCTCTGTCCCCAGGGAGTCTGGGTAGGAGAAGTGTCCCCCTCTGATGCAGGATTCCTCAGAGGAGCTCAGGTTGGAGGTCCTGGGGACAGCCCCTGTCCTCCTGTCTCTGCGTTTCCTGACCCTCCCTGGAACCCACCCTGTGCTCCCTGAACCCCACCTGCCCATCCCCTGTGGGCAGGGTCCCCGCAGGCCCGGCTTCCCCTTGCAGCCTCTCGCCCCTGCACGTGCGTCTTGTTCACCTCAGGCTGCGGGGCTCGCCCGTTCCTCTCCAGCGCCAGCCTGGTGGTCAGGGCCCGCCACCGCTCACCCAGGCGGGAGTGGAGGTCGGGGTCAAAAGGCCGGGTGGTGCATGGGGTGAAGGGTCGGCCCCCCAATGGAGGTGTCGGGCCTCCAGCTGGCTTTAAGGCCTGCTCAGGTTGGGCAGCGGGGAAGGCCACAGTGACCCGTGAGCAGAAGTGGGGGGGTGGAACCTCCCCGGGGGGCGCTGCGCCCTGCCTCACGGACACCCCCCCAGGTGGTGATCATGCGGGACTACCAGCATGAGAACGTGGTGGAGATGTACAACAGCTACCTGGTGGGCGACGAGCTCTGGGTGGTCATGGAGTTCCTGGAGGGCGGCGCCCTCACCGACATCGTCACCCACACCAGGTACGCGGGGGCTGCACCCTGGCTGACCACCAGCCTGCTGGCTCCCAAGCTCCCCTTCACACCCCCCTCCCGTGACAGGGCCACGTCCCCCCAGATAGGATGGGTAAGGCCACATCTCAGCCAGCAGTGCCATGAGCTCCAGCCTGGGTCCCTGTCCTCTTAGATTCTTCCCTGTCCCCACTCAAGGCAGGTCTGTGTCCCCTATTGACTGGGATTGTGTCTTCTCAGATCCCCCCACCCATACCCCAAGTCAGGGCCATGTCCGTCTCAGACCCCCGAAGCAGGGCCCTGTCTGCTCCTCGCCCACTGCCCCCTCGCTCCTCACCCCTCACCCCCTTGCCTCTCACCCACTGCCCCCTCGACCACTGCCCCTTGCCCCTCGTCCCTCACCCACTGCCCCCTCGCTCCTCGCCCATTCACCCAGTGCCCCTCGCCCCCTTGCCCCTTGCCCACTGCCCCTCGCCCCTCGCTCCCTCGCCCACTGCCCCTCGCCCACTGCCCCTTGCCCCCGCAGGATGAACGAGGAGCAGATCGCGGCTGTGTGCCTGGCCGTGCTGCAGGCCCTGTCTGTGCTCCACGCCCAGGGCGTCATCCACCGGGACATCAAGAGTGACTCGATTCTGCTGACCCACGATGGCAGGGTGAGGAGGCGGGTGGCCATTTGCTGGTGCTCCCCCACCTCTCCCCAGGTCCCCTCTGCCATTGGGGACACGTGCTGACCCTGCGTTCAGGGCTGTGAGGAGCTGTAAGCTGATCTGTTTCCCGTGGAATAGTCCAGACCTGGGCCCAGGGCAGGCGCCTAGACTGGCCGGGCCTCGGCCAGGTGCTCCTGCCTCCGCTGAGCAGCTCCCGTCCAGCCCGCAGCCCGTGGGCGCCCAGCCGCCGCCCTGCCGTAGACTGAGGTTCTGAATCCAGGGCAGTACCCAGAACTTGTATATAACCCAAGGGGGACGTCACTGTCCTCGGGTAAGGGAGCTCGAGGTCCCTCGTGTTCCTGCGAAGGCAGAGGGTGCGCGGTTTTCACGGAGCCCGAGGCGGAGACCCCAGGCTCTAGACAGGTGTGTTTGGGAACGTCTGTGAGCCTCCTGAAATCGCAGGCTCCCCCCGAGAGCGTGCTTTCTGGAAAGATCTAGATACCCTCAGTAGTCGGGAGGGGCCCAAGGTTCCAGACCCTTGGTTCTGGGGTCTTGGCTGTTGCCAAGGCAAGCTGTGTCTGTCTGTCTGTCTTTCTGTCTCCCCCACCCCTATGGGCGTGCACGCGCACACACACACATACACACTGGGGCACAGTGTGTTGCTTGTCCCCATCCCTACCCGGCCTTTGGTATGTGCAGGACTCAGGCCACTTCCCTTAAGAGCCCCAGGGCACCTGGTGTCCCCTACAGAGTTTGTTCCAAGATAAGAGACCCCGAGGGCTCCGCAGGGGTTGGCTGCAGACCCCGGCTCTCACCTCTGGGCTGTGCCATGGCATCAAGGTGTCCAGGGCAAGGAGAGAGACTGGTGGGCCCCTCTGCTGCCCCCAAGGCCACGCCCTGACCTGGCTGTCTGTCCCCAGGTGAAGCTGTCAGACTTTGGGTTCTGCGCCCAGGTGAGCAAGGAGGTGCCCCGGAGGAAGTCGCTGGTGGGCACACCCTACTGGATGGCTCCGGAGCTCATCTCCCGCCTTCCCTACGGGCCAGAGGTGAGCGCAGTGGCCCAGCTGTCCTGGTGACGTTTGCAACATGGCCCTGGTGCTGGGCTGAGGAGGCCAGTCTGGGCAGCGGTCGCAGGGACGGTGCAGTGGAAGAGGGCGGATGCGTGTTCTCGTCGTTGGTGGAGCTCTGGTTCTGGGCTAGGCCCGGGGCCTGGCAGTGGGAACAGAATGCTGGCAGAAGTGGTCACTGTGGGAAGGGGCCACGGCTGTGGGCGTTCACAGTGGGGAAGCCCGATCTGGCTTCAGGGAGCCCAAGTGCCCTCATGGCCACTCTCAGTGTGCTGAGGGGCCCCTCCTCTTGGAGAGGGCAGACACTCTCCAGCCATCCCGCTGCCAGCCCTAGCCTGTGTCCCCCTCCTTGCCCTGGCCTGTGTCCCTCCCGCCGGTAGCTGCTTGGCGCAGGACTCCTCCCTGGTCAATCCACAGGACTTGACCCAGTGCCTGGCCAGGAGAAAGGCACCCTGGGAAGCACATGGGGGACTCAGGCTGGAGTGGGGTCACCCTGGCAGGGGAAGCTGGTGTGACTCTGAGGGGACATCTCAGAACCGTCTGAGACTGACAGAAACCCTCACAATCAGATTTAGAAAAATGTGAAGGTCGTGGATCCCAGAACCGTCCCAGGCTTCCGACAGCCACCACGTGTTTGTTCCCTCCCCAGCCCTGAGTTCCTCGGGTGGCCCGTGCCCGGCAGGCGCCCCCCGATGGAGCAGAGGCGGCCTCTGGGGGAGAGACTCTCCCCTGGGAGAGCCTCGCTGTTTCCTGGTGTTTCTGCTGAAGCCCCAGGACTAACTCTGATTGGCTCAGCTTGGTCACGTGCCCTGTGTCCCCACAGCTGACCCAGCAGCCTAGGTCATGGCCACATTGGGCCACAGTAGACCTGGTGCACTGAGAGGAAGGGCTCAGCGGAGGAGGCGCGAGTGCCCTTAGAGAGCAGGCGGGCAGGGCCGGGCGGGCAGACCCTCAGGAGGAAGCCACCCTGGGTCCAGGAGTCCAGGAGCAACGTGGCGAGGGCAGACCAGATCCCGGGCGTCCCACGGACTGGCCGCTCCTTCTCAGTCAGCTTGCTGTCCCTCCCCCAGGTGGACATCTGGTCACTGGGGGTCATGGTGATTGAGATGGTGGACGGGGAGCCCCCCTACTTCAACGAGCCACCCCTCAAAGCCATGAAGATGATTCGGGACAACCTGCCGCCGCGACTAAAGAACCTGCACAAGGTTAGGCCCTGGCAGTGTGAGGGGCGGGTGGGACCGCGCCCCGGACATGGGCGCCCAGGGTCCCGCCCCTCATCGTCCCCAGAGGTGCCGCCCAGCCGAACACGCCACACGGCAGGGCCGGGACCTGCCCACTCGCCCAGACAGGTCAGACCCACTCCAGGGCCCGGCCGTGGCCACGTCCTCCCAGATCGCAGCCGTGGGGAGGAAGTGAGCCCCAGAGGCCGTGGGTCGTCACTGCCCCAGGTCAGGCTCTAACCAGGGCTTCCGGGCCCTCCCTGGTCAGCAGGTGCCATCCGCACATTCGAGGAGGCAAGGGAGACCTGAGGAGGTGGCAGCGGAGCTGGCCCTGGGCCCGGTGCGGGGCTCTCTCGACCCTCCCCTGCCTCCCCCACAGGTGTCGCCGTCCCTGAAGGGCTTCCTGGACCGCCTGCTGGTGCGCGACCCGGCCCAGAGGGCCACGGCAGCCGAGCTGCTGACGCACCCGTTCCTGACCAGGGCCGGGCCGCCCGCCAGCATCGTGCCCCTCATGCGCCAGAACCGCACCAGATGAGGCCAGCGCCCTGGCCCTGAACCAAAGAGCCCCATGGGTCACTCTGCCCTGCCGGAGGCCAGTAGGGCAGCGTCCCCACCCCTCCCAGCCCACGAGGCACTCCGTGTGTCGCCACCTCCTCACGGGAGGCTGTGTGGGACCCACTACTGAACTCTGGTTTTGGACTTTGTGACTTTGAAAACCACAGGGACTTGGAGCAAGTGAGGCTCCTAGGACCCCCCACCCTCCGGGGCAGGCCCTCCCCTGTGTCTGTCTCCAGGACAGATGGATGGACGGATGGTGGCCCACACGTCACTGGGAACCTGCAGCAGGGTCGCTGCAGGCGGGGACATATGGAAGGTGTGTGAGTGCGCGTGCCTGCGTGTGCACCTGGCAGTCCCTCTGTCCTCAGCCCGCAGGTGGGCGTCTCTGAGACCTCGCCTGGCCTCCAGCCTCCTGAGCCATTGTGGAGGTCCATCATGAATGTCTGAGAGTGGCCTTCTCCAGAGCCCGCACCCCTGGGGCTGCAGGGGTCAGGGGGCCGCCCCAGCCCCGCCTCTGCAGCTCGTGACTACTGCACCAGACAGCCTCGGTTTTCTAGAGATCTATTTATATTGTCATTTTATAACACTAGCCCTGCCCCCAACTGGGGACAGACGATCCTTGTTCTGTGGGGTGGCACAGGGACAGAACCACTGCCTGAAGATCGGGTTCCTGCCCCGCCCTCCCCTGCCAAGTCAGTTTTACAATTAAAACATTTTCTTGTTTTGTGGGGTTTGTGCGTGTGGTGCCTGAGGCCCCGGCCTGGCTGCTTGGGGTGGGCTCGTGGGCAGAGGCCTGGTTGACCGGGATTTTGTGACGGTCCCCCACCCAGGCCCCAGACAGGAGTGGGACAGACCCCGGTCCTGGAAGCAGCCCAGCAGGCTGAGTCCATGGGCCACAGCTGCCAAATGGCAGTTTCCTGGAAACTTCGAGAGTGTTTTGAGCTGACCTCACCCTCATCGTGACTACTGACCAGACAGCAGATGAGCCAGTGACAGCAGACTGGCCACGCGACAGACGGGCTCTTTAGGGACCTGATGAAGTTGAGTGACCTGGAGCCGCCAGCCTGAGCTGCTTACTGGGTCAGCAGAGGGCGTCCCCTAAGCCGAGGGGCTGAGCCCAACAGGGTGGGAGCAGTGGGCGGGCACGGAGGTGACCACCTGCCTCCTCCCCAGCACCCAAGAGGGGGGCAGAGGCTGACAGGAGCTCCCCCTGGAGCCCACTGGGCACTCTGCCACAGGACCTCTGCCTGCTGGCGGGGTGGGCCCAGGTGGGTCTGCCAGACCTGCCCTCGCCTGGGCGTCCTGGGCGCTCACTGTCGGTGCCAGAGCTGTGCTCAGCCCGCAGGGTCCCCATGGGGACAGATTTAAGCCTGAGAGTGAGGAGCCGCCGCTGCACGAGAACCTTCTTGAGGCCCCGGGAATGGCACGTTCTGGAAAGAAGAGGCCCGAGCTGGCAAGACGAGGCAGAGACCAAGACCCAGCCACGAGAGCCCGCACGGGGGCCGGGGCTCCGGGGGCACGCCTCGCCTCGCACTGAGGCCTGGCTCCGTCTCAGCCCAAAGTGAAGTGGGTGGCCTTGGCCGTGGGCAGTTCTGCCAGTGCCCACCACGGGCTGGGGAGCAGGCTGCTGCTACGTTGTGCGAGTTGTTCCAGAAAATAGGAGCCCAGGCAGGCGCACGCCAGGCTCCCCGGTGACTGCTGGTTGGGGCGCCCTGTCACTGCAGTGGAAATGACGTCCTGGGGGAAGGGGAAGCTGCCAGGCCTTGTCCCCAGGGAGCAGCGGCTGCGGGTCAGCAGGGGAGGTGGGGGGGCAAACAGCCCAGCAACCCGTGAAGACAGGAAGCTGCTGCCACCCACGTGCCATGCTGGGACAAGGGGCCGGTGTGGTCACTTGCAGGAACACTGGGAGGCCCGCTTGCCTCTGCTGTGTCCCCCCCCCCCCACCCTGGGCTTCAGGTGCCTCCTGCTGGCAGAGCTGGCTGGTCCCGCTGCGCCTGCCGAGTGGCTCTCAGGCCTCAGTCTGGGCAGAACGGGCGCTCAGAGCGGGGTGTGAGCCTGGTGGCAGCCGCCTGGGGCCACAGGGGGCTCACTTTGCCCAAGTGTGACTGACCAACCTCCATGAGCAACGGGAGGCCAGGAGGTGCTGTGGCCGTGCTCAGGCCCAGGGTCCAGGCAGAGGAGTCGAGGGGTGTTAGCCGTAGGCCAGAGGGCGGTGACGAGGCCCCAGATGAGCCACTTAACAGGTCAGACCAGTGCAGCAGCCTGGGAATGTAGAAATGCAAATTTGTGGGTCCCACCCCAGGCTGAATCAGACTGGGTGGAGCCAAGCAATCTGTACCCCTGCCATGCTGGGGACAACACGGGTGCTCTCCACTGGGCTGCATCCAGCCGTTGTCATTTTGAGATAAGGTATCCCTGAGTTGCTGAGGCTGGCCTCAAACGTGATCCTCCTATCTCAGCCTCCTGAGTCGCTGGGACTGCAGGTATGCGCCACCGTGCCAGCGGCAGTCTGTGGTCAAGGCCGGTTCAAGTGTGGAAACCCCTGAGGTCCACACTGCTCGGGTGAGACACGGACCCGTGTGGGATTCCCCCCTCTGAGGCGTTGGATCCCAGTGACCCTCCTTCCACCTCGTGCCTTCATTGGAACTAGCGCTCCTCATGGGATAAGGTACAAAAGGCCACACCACCACAAAGGGCTGGGAAAGGTGGGGCGCTCTCCTCCAAGGGTTTGACCCAGAAGCAGCAGCATTTCTCCGTGGGCCAGTGCCCTGTCACACACGGTGCCTGGGCGCGAGGCACTTGGGAATGCAGTCTCATTCTGCACAGCCCTGTGGCCCCCAAAGCTATGGAACTGTGATTCCTCGCCTCGGTGGTTCATTGAATTTTCTTGGCCTCAACTGAAGTTTTGAGTAACGGCACAACAGAGAACCCAGAGGCAGACCAGATCCGTGCAGAAGCTTCCTAGCCGAGAAGGATGGCCCACAAACCTACAGGGGAAATGTTAAGGCAGGTCGGTGGCCCCGCCTGTGATCCCAGCAGCTCAGGAGGCTGAGGCAGGAGGATGGCCAGTTCACAGCAGCCTCAGCCACTCAGACCCTGTCTCTAAAGAGCCTCTGGGTTCAATCCCCGGGACAAAAAAAATCATTTATAATAGGATTCAGAAATGGAGAAAATATTTGCAGAGTCTTACACTGATAAGACACCTTGGGGGAGATAAGAGGGCAAAGGGGCGAAGAGGAAGCTTAGAGAAGAAAGAACCCAAGACCAACAAGGACACGCAAAGGCGCAGACTCGGGTCATCAGAGGAGTCTAAAGTCGGACGACCCGTTGCCGTCTCACGCGGTGAGCGGTGGATCAAGTCGGCCTTGGTCAGATTAGGCACCTGACACATGCAGCTTCCTGTCACTCCAGCAGTCACCCCGGGACTTCCCAGAGCCGTGTGCAGTCTAGACACGGGGACCAAGCTCGAGGGTGTCCACGCAGCTTTATTTATGGGGCAGGAGCTGGACACAGCCTGCGTGCCCTCTCTGGGGACAGAGTGCAAAAACGGGGGGCTGTCCCCAGGATTCCTGTGCAGCTGTCAGAGCCAGGGACTAAGGGTGGCCCTGGGGAGGAGGGTCAGGCCAGTGAGACACAGAGGAAGTCCAAATAGCAGGTCCCAGCGTTCACATTACAAATTAAGGGCATAAACAATGGTCCTCATTTGCAAGTCAAAATACCAATTAAATACTACAGCCACCGACTCTGGGGATCAAGGGAGAAGCAAGACCTCGATGGCCCATGGCCATGCTCTGTCTATTTTCTCAGCAAAGGGCACTTCCCCAAGTCTCAGGTATCACAGGTAAAAATGATCCAGGTAAACCAGGCGAGGTAGTGCACACTGTCATCCTGGCAAATCAGGAGGCTGAGATCGGAGGATTGCTAGTTTGAGGCCAGCCTCAGCCTCTTGGCGAGACCCTGTCTCAAAATAAAAAATAAAACAAGGACTGGGGGGGCGCATACCTAGCATGTGTGAGGCCCTGGGTTCCATCCTCAGCACCACATAAACATAATGAAATAAAGGTGCGCTGTTCACACACAACGACAAAAAAAAAAAAAGACGGGGCGGGGCTCAGTCGTAAATCACCCTTGGAAAAAAAAAGACTCCAGGTGATTCCAATGTGTAGCCAGGAGTGAGGAAGGAGACGGCGGGTTCACCTGCCTCAGTGACTCCTGCTGCACCCACACTTCATGCCTCCTGGCAACACCCCACGTGTATCAGAAGACCCACTTCCCAGACGTGGAGACTGAGCCCCATGGAGGGGAAGGGCCAGGCCGGGGGCTGGTGGGGGTACCTCAGCCCAGCCCAGGAGCCTCGGACTCCCTTATCCCCATGGCCAGACGGGGACATGGGGACATCGGTAGGCAAGTGGGTGAGGACCAAGGGCCAAGTTTGGAGGGGCAGCCGCTGCCCGGGACGCTTGGCCTTGAAGGTCACCAAATGTTCTGATTTTTTATTTTTTGAGAAACCCCATTTCTCTGCTGAAGCCCTTAGATTTTAAAGGAACCAAATCACACAGACAGGAGCCATCGGCCACCATCAAATCCGACTGCGTCCCGCCTCTTCTAAGCCCCTGGTTTGACCTCATTCAACCCGAGTGGGCTCTACGGTGTCCCCAGGAGACGCGTCCTCCTGGGACCTTGGAGCGCGACCCTTGTGAACAGGGCCCGCAGCTGTGGCTGGGTTGGGTCTCCAGTCTCTGGGAGAAGCCGGAAGAGGCAAAGGATTGTCCCCAGAGCTCCCGGGAGGGAGGCCTGCTGACACCTAGATCTGTGGCTTGGGCTTCCAGGACATGGGAGCCGCGGTCTGAGCCCCGTTTGTGGCCACGTGTCCAACAGCCCAGGAAACAGGAGGAGCCCAGGACCAAGGCCCTCCCTCGGCCCCTCCACAGATGTCACCCAGCCAGGAAGGGGTGGGGCACTGGGCTTGGGGTCTCTGCACATACTCACCATGCCACACGGGTCACTGTGCCCTGGAGGGACCACAGTGTGGACAGGAGAGAGTCAGCTTCTCTCTTCCCCAGGTGGCCAGTCCCTCCACGGGGCCAGAGAGGCAGCTGGGGCGGCCCAAGGAGACGCCTAGGACTGGGGGACAAGAGGGCTCGTTCGGGAGGTGGGACAGCTCAGCGTCCTTCTGCAGAAGCCCCGGGTCATCTTTGGAGTCCCGGGACCTCGGCGGCGTCCTCCCCGTCCTTCTTTCCCACCCTTCCTCTGACCCTCCGCCAGGTCCTCACGGGGCTGTGGAATCTCGTCCGCGATGTGAACAGGTGACCCAAGCCCAAGGCACCAAATGCACCAGATGGCAAAGTCGACCTTCCTCCCTCTCCTCCCCGCCCCCCAGTTCCCCTCCCGAGACAGCCACTGGGACAAGAGTCTGCTGTCTCCTTCCACAAAAGCAGCACCCACAGGAAACAGCGCCCACGCACCCGCGGACTCGCTTTGCTTTGCGGGTCAGCATGATGCCAGGGACGTCTGCGTCTTGCTTTTTCCTGCCTAACAAAGCACCTTGGTGGCTGTTGCTTGATGGTACCTAAAAAGCAGCCTGGCTCTTGATCATGGCTGTGTAGTACTCCTCCCAACAGAAGAACCAGGACAGATGGAAACTGTGCTGTTGACAGACACAGAAGGAGCTTGTGGCTGTCGGTGTTCTAAACGACACCACGGCAGAGATCTACTGGCACATGATTTACCCAGCACACCTACACTTCCCCGGATGCTCACCTGCCCTGGGCCCCAGGTGATGTCTCTGGGTATCCCAGATCCTCTGGTCCTTCTCTGGCTCTGACCACCCCAGTCTCCGTGTCTCTCTTGCTGTCTCTATGCCTCAGCCTGTCTCTTTCCCTTTCTGTTCATCTCTTTGAGCCCAGTGATGCCCGACCACGGAGCCACATCCCCAGCCCTTTTTAGTTTTTATTTAGAGACAGGATCTCACTAAATTGCTTAGGGCCTCGACAAGTTGCTGAGGCTGGCCTTGACTTTGCCATCCTCCTGCCTCAGCCTCCCATGCCGCTGGGATTCCAGGTGTGCGCCAGCACGCCCCACACTCAGACTCTACCTTTGACTGGCTCTAGCTCCTTCTGAATCCATCTCTTCCTCCCCTGTTGCCCCCCCCCATCTCTGCCTCTGTCACAGCCGGCAAGGGGACAGACCTCGGCTCACCACCTGCCACCCCAACACGGAGCACTCAGCCTGCCCCACCCCAGCCCCTTCCAACGCAGCTGCAGCCTCCGGTCCTGCAGCCCTGGTGGGAGCCTGGCCTGCTCCCCCAGCCTGGGCACCCGCTTCCCGCAGGATCCCTCTTAGGGACATGCCGGCTTCTGGGGTGACGTGGGTTCTGCAGGGAAGCGGGGGAGCTGGCCCAGGTTCCGACTGGACGCTCTCCTCCTGGCCTCCTGGCCCTCCCTCCCTAGCAACCGGAGCTGCTGGGCCAGTCTGAACTGCGGACAAAGAGTGAACAAACCTGCCCAGGCCCTGCCCAGGCCCTGCCCTGGTGACACTGACATTCTGGCGGGATGAGCCAGATCATGACCCAGCAAACACGTTCAGGACTCCGCGGATTTCTGGAGCACAATAAATGCGAAAAAGGACGGGGCGTGGCGACAGAAAAGCAGAGCTAGGAAGTCTGACTCGCCCGGGAAGACCCCTGGCCATCCCTGTACATGAGGACAGCCAGCAGTGTCTTAGGAAGTGACGTCGGAGTGGAGATGAGGGTGGCGGTGGAGGTAGCTAGGAGAAGGCCATGCCGGCGGAGGGCAGCATGTGCAAAGGCCCTGAGACAGGAGGGAAGCTGGAGGGCCCAGGAGCACAAAGAAATATGGAGCACCATGCGCAGGACGGGGTGCATGGGCTGCCCCAGCAGGAACCAGGGTGGACTGAAGCTCACTCCTGGGGAAACCCAAGCCTTCAAGAAGGAAGGTCCTTTGCCAAGGACACTGTGATTATGGTAGGCGTTGTTACGTCCAGGCAGCCCGGGTTCTGCACAATGCTCCATGTTGTGTTGCTGTGTGTGTGTGTGTGTGTGGCTGGGAGTCAAACCCAGGGCCTCTGCCAGCCCAGCACACCAGCATTACCTGGGAATTCATTTAAAATGTAAATTCTTGATGGGTGCCGTGGCGCATGCCTGTAATCCCAGTGAATCAGGAGGCTGAGGCAGGAGGATTGCAAGTTGGAGGCCAACCTCAGCAACTTAGTGAGGCCCTGTTTTGATATAAAAAATAAAAAGGGCTGGGGATGGGGCTCACTGGTAAAGCACCCCAGGGTCAATCCCCCCCAAGAGTTAAAAAAAAAAGGCAAAGTGTCAGGACCACAGAATCAGGGGAACGGGGTAGAGGCCAGCAGCCCACAAGTTCTCTGAGGGCTCTGAAGGGCGCTCGAATTTGAGAACCACTGAGCTAAGCTCTCCTGCCTGCCCGAGCCTTGTCCCTCTCCCCTGAGTGACCCCGACTGCAGTGGGTGGACAGTGGGACCCATGAGTGCTGCTTAATCTGGGGAAAAAGGTCAGTTGAGCTAGAGACCTCGAGGTGAGCTGATCCTGGGCCATCTGGTCGACCCACAGCACACTGACCACTGAGTGTCCTGAGAGGAGGGAGGCCCAGGGGCCACACAGGCAGGGGCTGCAGTGACGGGGCTGTAAGCAGAGGGTGCAGCAGCCACCAGACCCTGGGAGAGGCGAGGAAGGCCTCCCCCGTGCCTCTGGAGAGAGCCACCAAATGCCGCACCTCGAAGGGGCTTAAGGACAGGGAGCCTCCAGGGAGGAGGATCATCCTGGTGTCAGGGACAACGCGGGGCTTGGCCCTAACCTAGCCCTCCCCAGGACACTGGCCCAGCCGAGAGCACAGACCCTGGGGCCCAACTGCCAGTGTCCAGGCCCAGCCCTGCCATTCCCTGGGCAGGTACTTCACCCCCCCCCCCGCGCCTCAGTTTCCACATCTTTTTGGGGGCAATGGGGGTTGAACTCAGGGGCACCCGGCCACTGAGCCACACCCTAGCCCTAATTTTGTACTTTAGAGACGGGGTCCCACTGAGTTGCATAGGACCTCACCGTGGCAGAGGCTGGCCTCCAACTTGCAGTCTTCCTGCCCCAGCCTCCCGAGCCGCTGGGATTCCAGGTGGGCACGGGCTCCCGGCCTGATCCGCAGAGTGAAGTGTTTCTCAGGCTCCAGGCCCTTCCAGATTCCCAGCGTGGGGCTTGGGAACTAGCCTTTTTCTTTCTTTCTTTCTTTTTTTTTTTTATGGACACACACTTTTATTTTATTTAGTTTTATGTGGTGCTGAGGCTCGAACCCAGGGCCTCGCACATGCTAGGCGAGCGCTCTCCCCCTGAGCCCAGGAGTTGGCCTTTTAAATAAGCTTCCCGGGTGATCTGACTCGCCCTAAGATCCGGAAACCACTGAGGGTGGGGACATGGGGGGCACGGGGTGGGGCAGCACTCCAGGAGGAAGAACGTCACAAGCAAAAAACCCAGGATGGAGCCTGCACCGTGGCGCACACCTATCCCAAGTTCCAGCAGCCAAGCGAGACCCTGCCTCAAAAATAAAAGGGCTGGGAGTGTGGTTCGGTGGTTAAGCCCCCGGGTTCCATCCCCAGGATCAAACACCGCACACCCTGCCACGGAGAGAACGGATCATGGAAATCCAGGGCCTGAATCCAAAGAGCTGGAGTCTCCTCCTGAAGGCACTGGGGAGCCATGGAGGGTTCAGGTGAGAGAGCGGCTGGCTGGGCGTGGTTATCGTGCCCTCCCACAGGGCTGTTGTGTGGTGGGTGGATCACAAGTGGGTGAGGAGCCCAGAAGGCCAAGATGTGGGCAGCATGGTGGGGTCAGCGCCTCCTGGACTCCTCAGGCCACTCCCTGCCCTGGATTCTGGCTCCACTTGGCAGAGGTCCTCCTGCCCCATGACAGGTCTGAGGCAGTGGGTGGGCAGCCCGGGCGAGGGTGTGCGCTGAGTGCCTGTGGTGGCCGGGAGTGTTCCTGGTTACGGGTGTGTCGTGGGTTCTGCTGGGGACTTCCGAGTGCACCCTGGGTGCACGCCTACCATCCGTATCCCCTGATGTGCCCCCCCCAGGGCCTGGCCACTTCCCGGGTCTCCCAGGCAGGTCACTTCGCCCATCCGGCCTCAGTTCCACTATCACCAGCTGCTGCTTCTGCAAGCTGAAGTGAGGCTGAATGAGTTCAAGACAGACATTAATGTGCCCATGGTCCCCTGTCTGCTTCTGGGTGAACCAGTGTTTGTTCCAGGGGTGGATTTGGCTCTGTGTCCTGTGCAGCGCTTCTGAGTCTCTAGGGTGTGCCCAACTCACCAGGTCCAGCTGTGCAACCTAGGGGAGTTACTTGACCTCTCTGTGCCCCAGTTTCCTTGTCTGCGCCCTGGGCATACCAACAGTGTGTGTGGAGGCCGGGTTGCTCCACCTACAGGACCGGGAAGAACGCCTGGCCCGCAGGCAGCCCTCAATTACCCAGCATCATCACTGGGGTGTCACCGTCTGTGACAGTTTGAGCACATGTCCCTGTGTCTCAAGGGAATGTGGAGCAGGAAGTGCCGTGGGAACAGGTGGGGGCCAGTCCTGGGGGGGTGGCCCCTATTTTCTCATCTGCAGATCCACCCATCAGCAGCACCTCCCCGGGCTGCGCTGGGGTGCGGGGCGCCCCCTCCCCACCTTTGATGGGAGATGAAATGAACCGGAACCCCTAGAGCAGCACCTGCAAGCAGAGGCACTGTGGGGACAGCTAGTGACCGTCCCCACGGGGGGGGGGGCGCCACTCTGCGCCTGGCTTTTCTGAACCAGCGTGGGATGTGGCAGGAGGTGGCCCTGGGCACCTGGCCTCACAGGTTCCTCCACTCCCGCCGGGTCCCCAGCGCCCATCCCCCTGCGCCCATCCCCCACGGCAACGCCCCCTGGCCTGGGGGGGAGGGGCAGCAGCCCCGCGCCCTGCCCCCCCCGCGGCTCCCCAGGTCCCCACCTTGGCCTCTGCGCCTCCCTGGGCCTCTCCTGACTGCCCGGACCGAGAACAGCGGGCCGAGGGCGAGGGCGCAGGGGAGGGACCGAGGCTGGCGACCTCCGCGGAGGGACAGGGCGGGGAGGGGGTCGGGGTCAAGGAGCCCCTCACCTGCCGGGTCCCTTAACGAGGTAGCTCGGCCCAGGTGTCACACCCTCTCCGGGGCCAGCGGGTCCTCAGGTGGCCCCGGGAATGGGGCGGGGCGTGGGGGGCGGGAACCCCGGGAGGAGGGAGGTGGCCCCGGGCGCAGCGCCGTCCCCAACCGCCCCCGGCTGCGGCGCCCCGCCCCCCAGGTAACCCCGAGCCCCGCGGAGCCGCGACCGTCGCGCAGACCCGGGCGATGGAGGCGCAGCGGGACCGCGACGCGCTCGGCGGCGGGACGGGGGCTGACGCGCCCGAGAGCCCCCAGGAGCCGCCGCCGTCCCCGCCGTCCCCGCCGTCCCCGCCGTCCCCGCCGTCGCCAGCCACCCCCGAGAGCCCGCAGCTCCCGAAGCCCGAGCCGCCCGCGGAGGCCCACGCGCGGCAGCTGCTGCTGGACGAGTGGAGGCCCCTGGGCGGGCGCCTGCAGCTGCCCCCGCGCCTCACCTGGAAGCTGCTGCTCGTGCGGCGGCCGCTCTACCGCAACCTGCTGCGCTCGCCCAACCCCGAAGGTGCGGACGCTGCACCCGCGCCACCCGGACCGTCTGGATCTTCATCTTGGCGGCTCGGTTTCCCTGTCCGTTGTTCCCACCCCCCTCCACCTTCTTCATCCTTCTCGTCTCCTGTCTTGTCCTGTGTCTGTCCCTGCGTCCCTCTGTCCTGCCCCGCATCTCCACGTCCTAGCGTCTCTGCCTCCACCTGACGTCCCTGGGCGTCCCAGCCTCTGCCTGTCTCTGTCTCCGGGAGCCTCTCTCCCCTGTTTCACCGCATCCCCCTCCGGATACCGACCTCTCCCGGGGTCTGAGTCACGGCTCCCTGCCGGGCTGGTCTGGCCCCACACAGTTCCCTGCCCTTCCAGTGCCACCCCGGGGCAGGGAGGTGACGGTGCGGAAGGACTGGCCTGAGGCTCCCCCTTTGTGCATTTCAGGGATCAACATTTACCAGCCAGCACCCCCTACCGGCCCCACCCGGCAGCCCCTGGAGGCTCTAGGTAGGTGCTCCCAGCGGCCGCTAGCGGAGGGTGGACCCCCAGAGGAACGGGCTGACCCTTGCCTCTTCCACCGCCAGGCAATTTCCGGGGATGGCACATTAGAACAGAGACGCTCCAGCAGGACCTCAGGTGAGCCGCAGGCTCTGGGGCCTGCCCCAGATTCCCTGCTGCAGCCGTCTTGGCTGGGCAGCCTGCAGAAACTGACTTGGCCTCTCTGGGCCTCCTTTCCTGCTGTCAACAGGGTTGGTCATGAGAGAGGATGCTGGCCAAGCGCCCAGCACAGGGCTGGCTCGGTGCGCCCAGCACCCAGTAGGTGCTCAGCCCATTCCACCATTACTGTTACTGTTCTCAGCCTCTTTCCCCGGGATGGGAAGAGTCACCTGAGGCCACACCTGTCCTCCATTATCCGCATCCCTGCTCTGTGCAGAGGATGAGAGGGTGGGACTTGGTGGCTTGGAGTCTCACAGGCCTGGGTTGGGTCCTGGCTCTGCCACTTCTTTGCTGCTTGACTTTGATCTTAAGCCTCAGTTTTCCCATCTGCAAAAAGGGTTCAGATTGCATCGACTCCAGGGGGCGGTGGGAGCCAGACGGTCAGGCACCGCTGCGGGTGGGTCTCCTCCTCCCAGGGCCTGGGAGGCCGGGGGTCACAGCGGGTGCAGACCCCACCTCCCCTGCCCCCCTTTACAGCTGGACGGTGAAGCAGCAGTGCGTGAACCTCCTGGCCGAGGGCCTGTGGGAGGAGCTGCTGGACGATGAGCAGCCGGACATCACCGTCATGGACTGGTGCGTGCCCGCGCATGCACTTGGTGGCCCAGGGACTCCCCAGAGCCCAGACTCTCCTGCTGCCCCGACACTGAGCTCCTCACTGACACCCCGCCCCACGCTGCAGGCCCCGCCGTGCCCAGCTCTCTGGCCTGTTCTCTGAGTCTCTCAGGTTTCAGCCTTTCCAGGCCCCTAAATCTTTGGGCTTCGCTGAGGCTGTTCCTTTTTGTATGAATGCTTGTCCCCTCTGTTATTATTTTTCCTTTCTTTCTGGTCCTGGGAACTGAACCCAGGGGCAGTCTACCCCTGAACCACATCCCCAGCCCTTTATTTTCATATTTTGAGCAGGATCTCACTAAGTTGCTAAGGCCGGCCTCTAACTTGTGATCCTCCTGCTTCGGCCTCCATAGTTGCTAGGTTACAAGCATGTGCCACTGTGCCCGTCTTCTCTGTTATTCTTGGGATGGATTCATATATATAAATACACACACACACACACACAGACTTTTTTTAGTTGTAGATGGACACTATACCTTTATTTTGTTTATTTAGTATTTTTTTTTAATGTGGTGTTGGGGATGGTCCCCGTCCTCATGTGCCAGGCGAGTGCTCTACCTCTGAGCCCCGGCCCAGGATGGCCTCCCTTGACTGCAGGAGTCAGTTGCTCAAGGCTGGGGGGGAAGCCTTCCCTGACCACACCCTGCTGGGTCACATGGGTTTGCCCCAGGGCTCTGGTCCCGTCCCATCCTGACCCCTCTGCCTGCGCCCCCCCTTCCGTCCTAACCAGATGTGGGACTGTGAGTCCCCTGAGGACAGGGCATGGGGCTATCTCGGTCCCTTGGCTGCCAGGGCCGTCCAGGCTGGGCCTGCAGACTGGGTGGGGAGCGGGTATTGAGTGCCGGATGGGGACACGGTTGTTGGGACGTGGTGGCAGCCCAAGGCCCGACCCCCCTGCAGGTACGAGGACAGCCGACTTGACCAGTGCGTCTACGAGCTGCACGTGTGGCTGCTGGCCGCGGACCGTCGCACGGTCATCGCGCAGCACCACGTGGCCCCCCGGAGCTCTGGGCGTGGCCCCGCTGGCCACTGGATACAGGTGAGGTGGCCTGGCCCCGCCCCGCGTGACAGCTGCTGCTTCCCCACGACCTCGCGGGGCGGGCGGAGGGGAGCAGGTGGGCTCTAACCAGGACTCCCTCCCACCGCCCAGGTGTCCCACGTGTTCCGCCAGTACGGCCCCGGGGTGCGCTTCGTCCACTTCCTGCACAAGACCAAGAACCGCATGGAGCCCGGTGGGCTTCGCCGGACAAGGGTGACCGACTCCTCCGTGTCTGTGCAGCTCAGGGAGTGACAGGCTGACCCTGGGCCTCCCAGAGCCTCCCCTGACCTCGGAGCACCCCCTGACCTTTGACCGCGACCTGGGCTTCTCCCCTGAAACCTTCACACATCCCTGAATGTCTGACTCTGGCACTCTGAGCTCCAGAGGCAGGGCCACTCCTTGTCAGATAGTAGGTGCTCAATAAACTTCCGTGAGTGAATGAATGGCCACCTGTGTCCTGGGATGCTGGGTGCCGCCCTGGTCTCCCCTCCCTAGAACTTCCCTCATTTCATTTCTCTTTGCAAACTCTCCAACCCTTGGCCCTCCAGCATCTTCATGAGCCCTGGACTTTTTGCTCTGACCCTGACCTCTGTGATTTCTTCACACTCCTCCCCAGTACAGACCACTCGACACCCCTCCCACCATTTCTCCTGTGTCTCTTAACCCCTAGACTCTTCCCAAGTCCCCTCTGGCCCCAGCCGCTGCCAGTCATCATGCCCCAAGGCTGTCCCCATGCCCCTCCCCCCACCTTCCCTGTGTCTCTGCTCTAGTCCCTCAAGGTCTCCAAACCCAGATATCCACCAAGGGCACTTGTCCCTAGGGTGGGGACACAGGTCGTAGCCTGAACAGAAAGATCCAGATTTGAGCTATAGTGTCTTCCACGTGTGGGGGGAGGGGGATTAAAAGTACTCAACCCCACCTCAAGGTTAAGCTCTAGCAGACCACTCCACCTGCCTGGGTTGGGGGGGGCAGGTCCCTAGAAGACCCCTGGTATCCCAGACCCGTCTCCTGAGGGTCCCAGCTACCTGAGGGCCAGAACAGCTCAGGGCAGGATTTGTACCCAAAGCCTGGAGATGTTTCACTACCAACCACCAGCCAGCTCCTCCCGCACTCCTCCTGCGCGTCTCTGCGTCCCACCCCAACTCCATATGGCAGCTGGTGGCTGGGCCACCCTCCCGGGCATTTGCATGGCCAACCGCTGTCCCCACAGTCCCACCCAGTCCTGCGTGGACGTGGGTCCCAAGCACACGCAGATGGCAGACGGACAACTTGTCAAGGGCTGTATTGCAGACAGGGTGGCGGGTGGCGGGCTGAAGGCGCCCTCCTCCTGGGTCTTGAGGCCGGGGCTGGGTGGGGGCTGCAGTGGGAGACTCCGGGATCAGTAGCACCTGCAACGTAATCCGAGATGGTCACCAGGGCTGTCAGGGCTGGGTCCAGGGCGTGGTGGGGAGCTGGGGTGGGGGTCCAGGGCTCCGAGTCGGATCGGGGCTGCTGGCCCGGGAGTGTGTGGCTGGGGCTCCTGGGGCTCTTGGGGAGCACGGCTGGGCTGCTTTGGGGGTGACACAGTAGGTGCCAGCGTCTGGGGGCCTGGGTATTTGAGTGTAGGGTGGGCTCAGGGGCCTCCAGGGCTGGGCTGGGGACTCAGGGACTGATTTGAGGGTTGGGGCTGATCTAGGGGGTGCAGGTGGGTGGGGAGCCCCAGGGCGGCTGGTAGGGGTGTCCTGGAACGGTCCTGGGGTCTCCAGGGCTGGTGGATTAAAGCCTGAGAGTCCCAGAGTTGGGTGGTGGAGCTTTAGATGTGACAGTCTGCAGCAGGAGGCTGGCGTGGGCCTGGGGCTCCTCCCCTCAGGCGATCCTCCCTGGGGAGCACATGGGGGGAGCAAGTGGATCCTTCCAGAAGGGGGGCGGGGTCTGAGTTGAGGGAGCTGAGGGATCCAAGGCGCAGGGGCTGCCTGGCGCAGGCTGGGGTGAGGTGCCGGGGGACCCTGGACTTGGGGACACCCAGGACTGGTGTCTCTGGGTGGCGGCTGGGGCGGCCCCGGGGCGCGGGCACCTGCAGTACAGCGCGGAGATGGCGTTGGACCAGTCCCCGAAGATCCCGAGGCGCAGCTCCTCCAGGCGCGGGTAGGAGCCCGAGGAGAACTTGCGCGTCTTGCCGGCCTTGCCCGCGCGGGACCACACGGTGAGCTCGCAGCGCGGCGCCACCACCAGCGAGGACGCCGTGTTGGCCCAGCCCGAGGGCAGGAAGGGCAGGTCGGCGCCCGGCTCCACCGAGAGCTCGGCGCCCCGGCAGCAGTTGTCGTAGTAGGGGTCGCTCTTGTCGTAGAGCTTGGCGCAGGTGCGAGTCCCATCCTCGCGCTTGAGGTCGGCCGGCACCGGGCAGGTGCCCTGGGCACCCGGCACAGCCACCAGGGCCAGGGCCAGCAGCAGCGGGCGCAGGAGGGACATGGTGACACGGCAGGGCTGGCCCCCTCGCGGTTTTATGCACCTGAGCCGTGGGAAGGGAGAAGGTGCAAGATAAGGACTTGGGAGGGAAGGAGGGGGCGCCCTCCCCCCCAGTGGGGACCTTCCAGTCCCAGGCCATGGACACAGGTGGAGGAGAGCAAGCTTGCAGAAAGCCTGGCACCTAGCATTTGACACAGCAAGGCCACCATGGTCAGTAGGCAGGACTTGAGGTCATTTGCAGTACATAGGGTGGCTTGGGGTCCCTGCATGGGGAAGGCAGGGTTCTCAGGCACTGACAAGGCAGCCGAGGGTGGTGGCCCCGGCCTGTCATCCCAGGGGCTCCAGAGGCTGAGGCAGGAGGATCTCGAGTTCAAAGCCAGCCTCAGCAAAAGTGAGACACTAAGCAACTCAGTGGGCCCTGTCTCTAAATAAAATACAAAATAGGGCTGGGGGTGTGGCTCAGTGGTGGAGTGCCCCTGAGTTCGATCCCTAGTACCCCGAAACAAAAACAAAAATAAAATGGACAAGGCACAGAACAATCCCCCTACTAAATAAGGAGAGGCAGGCAAAGGGAGAGGGAGGACCCAACCCTGGGAAAAGGAGAAGCTGGAGCTAAGGAAAGGCACTCTGGAGGAGAGGGGAGGGGCCGAGGAAGAGCTCCTCACCAGGACAGGAAGATGATTCCAACCAAGACTGGAAACCAGCATCTGGGGTTGATGTTTCACAGAACACTTTCAACCTTTGAAGACATCATACAAAAAAGGCATGGAGAAATTTTTGCCACACTCAGATAACAGAGCTGATAGCTATAATATATAAAGAGTGCTTACAAATGAACAAGAAGAAATCAGCACGCACCCCAACACCCAACACGTGCATACACTGAAGAACAGACCCAGGAGGGGGAGAAGAAGGGGGAAAGAGGCTGCCACCCCATCCTCTTTCCCAGGAGCCAGGAGACAGGGAGGGAGGGAGGGAGAGAGATGTGCTGGGACAGAATACAAGGCCTCGCATGTGTCAGGCAATTGCTCTCCCACTGAGCTACACGCAGCCCCACCAGGAGCTGTCTTAACCAAGTCTGGAAATCTTGAATCTGTAAAATAAATGGTGGCCCTGTTGAGCTGTATAAAGTGGGAACAATTTATCTGGCTGTGGTGGCACACACCTGTAATCCCAGCTACTCAGAAGGCTGAGGCAGAAGGACTGAAATTTCAAGACCAGCCTGGGCAACTATAGTAAGACCCTCCCTGTCCGAAAAATTAAAAGGGCTAGGGGTGTAGCTCAGTGGTAGTGCACCCCTGGATTCAATCCCCAGTACCAAAGCAACACAAAGCAAACAACTAAAACCACTGATTAGACTTTTCTAATTTTTTTTATTTAGTTGTAGTTTGGAGACAATTTTCTTTATTTATTTGTATGTGGTGCTGAGGATCGAACCCAGGACCTCACACATGCTAGGAAGCACTCTACCACTGAGCCACAACTTTAGCCCCTGATAAGACTTTTATATAGTAAACAAACAAACAAATACACCTGATCTATCTGGGGAAATGATCTCAGTTCATACAGTACACAGCGAGCTCTCAGCCAAAGGAAAAAATTCAGGGGAACCTAGAAAGGGAGAGAGGCTGGGAGCTCAGGGCTGGATGGGACTGAGCGCAGCCCTGCAGGAGCTCTCCAGAGAGGACAGCGTCAGTGGCGCAGAGGGGCTGACGGGGGCCGGGGCCATGGCTCTGTGAGTGAGCACGAGTCCGAGCCTCAGTCTTCTCATCTGTCAAGTGGGTATTGCTTCTTCCTATACCGTGTGTGTGTGTGTGTGTGTGTGTGTGTGTGTGTGTGATACGGGGGCCGTGAATTCACAGAAAAGCCCAGGGAGCCAGACGGCCTGTGCACAGCACCGCCCCCAAGGCCTCATGGGCGCACGGATCCTGACTTCTGCTGGTGCAGGATCAATGAGTTGATCCAGGTCACAGTGTTTAGAGAAGGCCCAGCTCTTGCCCAGTGCCATCGTCATCACTATAAAACTCCTAGCGGGGAGGCTGGCACAGAGTAAGAGCCATGAAATCTCGTAGACGTCAGCCGTCACCACAGCACAACACAACAACACTTTGTGCCTTCCAAGGCCACTGGGTGAGCCCTGCTGTGTCTTCTGCCTTGGGGGTGGGTAGCGCAGTGGTTAGGGATTTTGACTCTGCCACCTGCTTGCTGAGTGGCCTTGGGCAGGTGCACTTACCTCTCTGAGCATCGATTTACTCCTCCCTTCAGTGGATAAGAGAAAGTAAGGTTTCTATGTAAAGTGAGCTGTACTCATATGAAACGTTATGAGCACGCCATGTGATTATTACTATGATATAAATACGTGTTGTATGATATTGAACAACAACAAGGAATGGATGTAATATATGAAGTGTGAGGGTGGGTCCCGGCAGGTGCCCAATCAACAGGAGCTTCATGACTGTTCTCACAGTGATCCGACCCCCGGCCCTCCCCTGGCCGGCTCCGGGTCCTTCTCCCCGCTTTCTTCCCGTGACCCCATGAAATCTAATCTCCAGCTGCTCACTTCCCAGAGAGCCTCCTTGACAGAGCCCCGCCTCCTGGCACTGCAACGAGACACGTAAGTGTGGCACAGTCACCCACAGTCCCACCGTGAGGGTCCCAGGAGCCTCAGACACAAAGGGCAGGGAGACCCTGAAAGGGAGGCAGATCCAGGGCCAGCGTCACGCAGAACCACGGAGACCAGGGCATGTCATTGCTTGAAATTTGTTTAAATTTTCTGTGTTGTCCTTATTCAGCACCTGCACTCATACAGGTAGGGGACAGGGCAGCTCCTTCACACTGTCCCCAGTGTGACACGACTGTCACCAGTGCCTCCAACACCACTGGTGGTCATGGATTCTCACTGGTGAATTCCTCTCCCTC